TTTAGGGTTTAGGACCCTAACCCAGAGGGTCCGAGTACCCAAATAGTAAGGTTTTAGGTCCCAAAATCCATACGCTGAGTGGTTTTTGGACCCTGAAACCCTACTGTTTGGGCACTTGGACACTTAAGCCCTAAAGACCGCAAAGCATAAAAACCCAAGGTCCGAATGTTATGTTCTTCGCTCCTGCTGCTTAAAAGCAGCGAACGCCGGAACGTAGGGTTTAGGGTGATTTCCGTGAGATGGTGTACTACGCGTGATAACATTTAGGGCGTAGGGTTGGGTTTAGGCTTCAGGGTTTACAGCATAGGGTTGGGGCAACGAAGGTCATCCTCTACAAAGTTTGGGCTTTAGGGTTTATAGGGGCAAGCTCGATAGGCAGTTCACTGTCAGCGACACACGCGCTAAGCAGAGTCGCGATGAGCCGCCAACGTGGCCGAGGGATTGCATGATGCACCGGCCAATGCATACCGGCCCTTGCGTCACGATACCTGCTCTGCAGATCCGTAACACGTCCTTACTGCACCTCAAGCAGACTCTACTGTGGAAGAGTACTAGAGCTCATGATAGTACTTTATATTATACAGTGTATCAAATTCTGTATATATCACGTCGTATGATAGTATGCCTCCCTAAGGGTCCAAGTGCCCAAATACTAAGGATGTAGGTAGGACCATGGGCTGTAGCAAGCTTCACCACAACCTGTTACACTATACTACGGTGTCACGGGTTATCTCACAAATATGTGTCTGCTAGTTGTATCAGATCCTTTTCTATTTTTTCTTACTGTTTTCCACTACATCCGCGCCTTCACTCTATTATCCGAAGAGGTCGCACGAGCAGCTTTGGGTAATGCAGGGACCCAAATACCTTTGAGGGTTAAGGTTTAGGGGTAAGGGTTCAGGATTTGTGGGTACAGTATATTCTACTTTAGACTTTAGATGGGTACTATAGTGGGATATTATCACTGATAATAGCGGCGCTGGTTCGTGCGCCGTCGATGTGTGCATGCCATGATTGCAGGGGCATGCTTCTCATTGGGGTGTATGAAAACATAGCGCTCATGAGTGATCGGACCGTGGCTATGTGAGGTGCAGCCGGCTGTGTTCAAAGCATCTTGCCCTTATTGGGCGTTGTTCTGCAAAGCTTGGAGCTCCCGCAGTATGACAGCCTGACTATGGCCTTCACAGTAGCGCGAAGTCAGCGAAAGCATTGCGGAGAAGTTCATGGCACCAACCACCTGGCAGTGAGGACTTCCAGTCACTGAGATCTGCACACAGTTGGTACATAGCGCGGCTGATGCAAAGAATCCTGCACTACCTGAAATATCCGAAAACCTAGGAAGCAATCTGAGATGTTGCGTAATTAGTTATGAAACATGCATGGCTTTGTACATCAACAGAACTCTTCGCAGCACAGTGTTCTAAAGAAACTCGCACTTCGCATGCCACCTGGCGAAGGAGCCGAAGTCTTCGACACTCCTGCTTGGAAAAGGACGTTGAGGCACCCGGAAGTCCTGCATGGACAGCCACCACCTCGACTGCTCTGGGCTTTGCCAAAACTTGAAGGGAGTAAAGGGAAGAGGAACATGTCAACAGAACTTCCCACCACCTCGACTCTGCAAAAACTTGAAGCAGCATGCCAAACCCCTCACGACCCAAACTCGAAGACCTAAAATCTCTGTCCAAACCCTTGCACTAGTCACACATCGCACGCTAACAGGAACAACCCGAAACCCAAACATAAAACCCTAAACCCTAAAGCCCTCAAACCCCAAAACCCTAAAGCCCTAAACCCCAAAGCCCTCAAACCCCCAAACCCTAAACCTAAACCCTGCCAAGGGGCCGCCACAGCAAAGCCTGCATCCTCGAGTCCATCTTGCTCGGCACGCTCACGAAGTAGCTCTGCCAGCAGAGACAGTAGCTCTGCCCTGCTTTGAGCAGGGTTTAGGGTTTAGGGTTCAAGCCGGGTTTAGGGTTGATCTAGGGAATAGGATTTAGGCTACGAGCCGCTTTGACCCAGAATCAAGGTCAAGTTCCTGACAACCTGTTGTGAATAATTTCCTCAAACAGGAAAACTGGCTCCTAAGGAACACCGGGCCTGGGCATCATTTTCATTAGGTCACGCTGCTGCTTGTCCGGCTTTCGGGCACTGGAGTGGTGCTGGTGACAATACCCACAGGCTTCACCTGTCGGACACTGTCCCTGCTTTGCAAAGTAGACGCATGGGCGGCTGCACAACGTTGGGTGTCCGACACTGCCCCGGCTGGGTGCGGGTGGATCGCAAACTGTCGTGTCCTGCCCCTGCCGGAGGGTGCGAACATGACGCTGTGCCCATGCATCCACGACAAGGGACTCCGACTGGGATGCCACCGGGGAATGGCTCCTGGCACGACCACGGCGTGCTTCGCCAACCACCTTTCAAAGGGCTCCAGAGGTGAATGCCGACAAAAACACATCGAAAGGGTGGAAGTGACAAATAAGGGGCCTTAGAATCCGAGGCCCTAAACCCCTAAACCCTAAGTTTACCCGCCCCCCTTGAGAATCAGAGGCCCTTAATCCCTAAATCCCTAAACCACAAGTTTACCCGCCCCCCTTGAGGCCCTTGAACCTGGAGTTCCTCGGCCACGTCAATGAATGTAAAGCGGTAGGCGATGCGCCCTCCATCCATGGCTTCGTCGGACTTTCTGAAGGATCCTACAGCAGGCTGCTGAAAAATGGGCTCGGGCTGCGGACAGCTGCAGCGCTTGCGAAGAATAGGGTTTAGAGCTTGAAGTCTGGGGCTTAATCCCCCTAAACCCTAAACCCTAAACCCTAAACCTAAACCCTAAACCCTAAACCCTAAACCGCTTAATCCGAAGCCCTAAAAATTCTGAAATTTAGCCAGGTAGTGAGCTTTTCTTTAAGTCAAGACTCGGCCCTTTCACTTCCGGGATCCAAGCAGCCTAAAACCTACAACGGGACCTTTTTTGCTAGGGTTTAGGGTTTAGGGTTCAGGGTTTAGGGGTTTAGGGTTTAGGATTTAGGGTTCAGGGTTTAGGTTTAGGGTAGTTAAGGTAATTAGGGCGCACAATACAGTCACGGGGGCCAAGGGACGATAGACTTGGGGTGTATGCTCTGGTGGGCTTGGGGTTTAGGGTTTGTAGGGCTTTCGGCAAGGGTAAGTAGTGGAGCTTCATATGTTTGGGTTTTGGGAGACTAGGGCTAACTGCCCCTAGACCCTAAACCACAAACCACTTTCGTAATCCCTAAACGCCAAACCGTGAACGCGAATCGGTCCTCTGACCCAGAGTCTCTATAAGTTAAAACCACACAAAAAAAACCTAAACTCTAAACCCTAAGCCCTACCCATAGACCCCATAGTAGTTCCTGTTTGTGGCTTAGATTTAGGATTCCATTAGGGAATCCCAAAAAAGGAACTACTATGGGGCCTATGGGTCAACGCCCTAAACCAACCATCAGGAGCTCACAAAAGAAGGGTTTAGGGTTTAGGGTTTAGGCTTGGGCAATTTTACACAACTCCATGACAGAGTCCTTCCGTTTCTACGCTCCTTTGGAGACTTGCGTGTGTATGGCAAAAGCAAATGCAAATGACCCTAAACCCTAAACCCCAAACCCTAATCTGTGCCCCCAGCGATTCCGCCTCTGCCTGCGAACGAAAGCAGAGATCAGGGGTTAGTGAGTGTCTCCACGGTGCAGCATCTGTTTGGGGTTTGGGGTATCTTGGGTCTGCGAGTTGTTATTGCTTCCGGCAGGTAGGGCTCTTATTTCTGGGATGGCTTCCTACGTCTCTGCTAACCGTCGCTGAGCGTTATTTTGCTCTTTTTTGGGGTGAGGGGAGGGGGAGGGGTGCATGGGCAACACACAATAATCGCCAACCCCCAGATGCACCTTACAGCCTCTTAAGCCTTTGTAATTCTGGAAGTCCTGCAAATGACCCTACAATTCCGTGTACAAACCCCCATATCCCCCAGAGCCCTACACCCAAAACCGAATATAATCCCTTAAGGCCCTAAAACCAAATTTGTGCTTGAGGGCATCAAGGGCCTGACGCTGAACACGGTAGCGTTCCAACTTGGAACCGAGAATAGGGTTTAGGGTTTTTTTCATAAAACTGAGTGAACTTGTGTCCGCCGGGTTTAGGGATTAGGTTTTTAAGGCTAGGATAGTTGCCTGTTTGAGTTTACGATTAAAGTTTAAAGCCTTTGGGGGTGGATGTCTTTTGGCGTTTCGGGTTCAGGACTAGGTGGCGAGTTCAACAGCCCCCGAAACTGCTTACAGTTCACGCTCTATATTGCACAATATAGGGCCTTAACAATTAAAATAGGAGTTTGTGGCCCATTCTACGATGATTCTAAGAAGGAGCCCCCCAGAACAGTCTTGGTTATTGTTTAGGCCCCTAAACCCTAAACCCCCCAAACCCCAAAATGTCGGTATGTATTTAGTGTTATCCCTAAACCCCAAACCCCAAACCCTAAACCCTAAACCCTAAACCTTAAACCCTAAACCCTAAACCCTATCCCAACTCGATACCTAGAGGAGATAGTGGAGTTCTCAGGTTCGGGGTCGAGAGTTTAGGGCTTAGGGTTTGGGGTTTAGGGTTTAGGGTTTAGCCTATTAAGCCTCTTAGGCTTCGGGGCGTCAGGGTTCAGGGTTTAGTTTGGGGTTCAGGGTTCAGGGTTTAGTTTGGGGTTCAGGGTTCAGGGGTCAGGGTTTAGGGCTTAGGGTTTAGGGTTTAGGGGCTTAGGGTTTAGGGGCTTAGGGTTTCGGGTTTAGGGGCTTGGGGTTCAGGGGTCAGGGTTTAGGGTTTGGGGGCTTAGGGGTTTAAGGGTTTAGGGGCTTAGGGGTTTAGGGTTTAGGGGCTTAGGGCCGAGGATTGCAAGGGGTACACGAGAGCCAACGTACAAGAAGTCTGCTGTCTCCAAACTGTACTGCTACTACTTTCCCCAAGGGCCGAGGTATCGAATTAGGGCTTAGGGTTAATGGGTTTGATGTAGAAGCCTTAATAACTAGAATATTGTTTAGGGGTATATTATAGAATAACTATAATAAGGAATCACCAAAATAAAATATAGGTAAGTACTTAGGCCTCTATATTAAGGCTTAATTCAGTTGTTTGGTTCCTTGGATCCTAGGGGTTGCGCTTTGAACCTCAGAGTCGCAGTAGTCGTCAGGGAACACTGCATATGGGTTTAGGGTTTAGCGTTTTGGGGTTTAGGGTTTAGCGTTTTGGGGTTTAGGGTTTAGCGTTTTGGGGTTTAGGGTTTACCGTTTTGGGGTTTAGGGTTTAGGGGTTTAGGGGTTCAGGAGTTTAGGGTTTAGGGGTTTAGGGTTTAGGGGGGTAGTTCTCTAAATTCGGGTCCCTGCTAGGGTTTCTTTTTTTTCTTACCAGGGTGCCATACTGTTTGGGAGATCTAACAGGGGACCCTAAGTTGGAGAACTACCCATATGCAAGCACACACACTATTCTGCCATGGTCCTTGGACTGAAACTTGTTCATGGTGTGAGGGTTCAAGCCCAGTTGAGGGTGGACCCCTTAGGGTCGAGGGTGTATAGTGCTTTGGGTTGTAGGGCTTAGGGTTTAGTTAGGATTTAGGGTTT